TTAAATTCATTTCCGGCACCTTTGGCTGTCCGGAATTATTCCAATCACGAGGCCAAGCGCACCTATGCTTTTCGTAATAGGTTATCAAGGGGACCAGGTCAATTTTGACGCGGACCAAACAGTCCCACATTTCAAAGAAGACCACGTGAATATTCTGATGCCAGCAACCCAGATCAAAAAAGGCTTGATTTTGACTCAGTATATTTCTGTATTTCAATAACCAAGATATAAACGAGAATTATGTAAATCATGAAAATATTAATAAATATGAACCTGGAGCTACAACACCAAAAAATGATACGCCAAAATATTTAGAAACCCCAAGGCATGAAACTGCCAATGCACCAAACCCATTTTCTTTACAGGAAGCATGAGAACAAGAAGTATATCTTATTTTTTTTTCTTAAAAAGCATTTTATATTCTATAAATACAGTACTTATGTGAGTCTATTCTATTATTAGACTGTTTTTCAAAAAGAGTATGACGAACTGAGAATGAAACTTAAAATACTGGAAAACAAACGCCAGGAAGATAGGGAGAGAATCCACAAAATTGATACAATGAGAGCTGACGCAGAATACCGGCCTAGTGCCAATATGCCGGGCACGGGCATTCGCAGACCCCTAGAATGTCCAATGCCTAAAAAAAAAAAATCATATGCATGCAAATATATACATTAAATTGAATAGGGGGTTTTGGAATTAGTGATTCGGCATCTGATTTCAGATAAAATAAGTGATGTATTTATTTCAAAATAAGCGACGTACAAATTCTATTTTTTTAAAGTACGTACTTATTTACATAATCTCGTTTGATCGATGAATGTTTATCAAAAAAAAAGCTAATTTTATCACCCGACATAACTATTTAATTTTCTGATTTGGAATAGAGTTTAGAACCGAATTTGGTCTTCGATTTTAAAACCAATTTTATTTGATTCGAATTTGAATTCGAATATGAAATTTATTTACAGCTGTTTTCATAGATACTGGGACAACTGATAAAAATTATTTCGGCCGAATTCGATAAGTTTTTGAATTCGGTGTTATCGGAATTTGATTTCGG